CGAACTCATCACGTTGAACGCGGCCCAATGGGACCAACTTTGCCAGTACCAGGAGATTGTGTTTGCTAGGACGACGCCTGAGCAGAAACTTCGTATCGTCAAGGAGTTCCAGGCCCACGACAACATTGTCGGTATGACAGGTGATGGTGTCAACGATGCGCCATCGCTCAAGGCTGCCGACATTGGAATCGCTATGGGCAGTGGCTCCGACATTGCCATCGAAGCTGCCGACATGGTTCTCCTCGATTCGTTCGCTGCCATCATTGAGGCTGTTCAGTACGGTCGCCTGGTCTACGATAACTTGAAGAAGACGATCGTGTACTTGCTTCCCGCCGGTAGTTTCAGTGAGCTTTGGCCTGTCGTTACCAACGTCGCATTCGGTATTCCGCAGATCCTGTCGTCCTTCCTTATGGTAAGTACATCTGGTTTCGATACACTGCGTTTGTCAGCTAACTTCGTCTAGATCATCATCTGCTGTCTTACCGACTGTGCCGCCGCCATCACGCTTGCTTATGAAAAGCCCGAGGCCGATGTGATGCTTCGCCCTCCTCGTAACCCTAAGAAGGACAGGCTAGTCAACGCTCGGCTCATCTTCCATGCCTACTTCGTTGTCGGTCTACTGCAGTGCTTTCTCGCCTTCACCATGAGCTTCTGGTGGATGCAGCGCAGAGGAGTTCCGTTCACGGCAATGTGGTTGAAGTTTGGTGTTTACGATCCTCAATACGACCCGGAATTCGTTACCGAAGTCGCCAACGAAGCTTCGAGTATCTACTTCGTCACACTAGTGATCATGTGAGTATGGAGGTGGAAGCGTACTAAGTAACTAGCTGACATTGACGACAGGCAACTGTTCAACCTACTTGCTACTCGCACCCGTAGACTCAGCATCTTCCAGCAACCGCCTATCTTCAACAAGGCTACTCAAAACTGGTCGCTCTTCCCTGCCATGATCTTCGCCATCGTTGTGGTCTTCATCTTCTGTTACATTCCAGCCCTCCAAGACACGATCGACACCAGGACTGTCTCGGTTGAGCACTGGTTCCTTCCGGCTGCTTTCGGTATGGGCTTACTCGTCCTCGATGAGTCAAGGAAGTACTGTGTGCGCACTTGGCCGAACGGCTTGCTCGCCAAGATTGCTTGGTGATGCTCTTTCCTTCCATCCGAGGAGACTACTTCCTTGCCCTATTTTATTACTTCAAAGGGGCCATTCAGTTCAGAAGCCGTTGGCCCACTTGCAACAGTAGCGTAGTTGAGAAGGCTTGTCATAGCAATGTCGATTAGATGGGGGGTGTCGTGTGAATTGGCACACACGCATTCAGTCTGCAAGCAGACAGAGCCCAACCTTTTCTTTCTATTCATCAGCAATATGATCCAGAGCCACGCCTCGTTTCCACATGTTCGACTGTCCCACAATGCAGTGTGCCACTTCCCACTTCAGCCGCAATATCTGTAGATGCACGACCCCGGCCATCGGCAATTTTCCATGCGATACCCCACACGGACTTTAATGCGCCTTGCGCAACGAGGCATCTCGTGGCTCAACGGTGAATGGAATGCCGGTTATTGAGAGCAAGGGGTACAAGTCAGCTGGCACCAATCGTATCACCTTGCAATATGAAGTTCCTCATAAAGGAAGACTGCAGATCCAGGCTTGGCCACATGCAGAGCGGCTAAAGGTGGCCGTTCCATATTTTGATGTGTGTGTGACAAAGGATAGATGAGTATAGCGTTGGAAGAGGAATAGTGTGGTGTCTGCGGATGATTTTCCACGCGACGAGGAAAGCGTAAGTGCCTGCTCCGTAGCAAAGCGCCAAGCGAAAGCGCCCCGCAGAATTCGCCAAACCTTGCTTCGACGACCTCAACCATCCGCAAGCCAGCGATGACGCGCCACTCGAGACGGCCGATACCACGAAAGTTCCGAGGTTGTTTGAAACACCTTGTATCTCAAAAACAAGTCAGTTCAAACACATATTGCGTACGCATTGATGCGTGATCCGTCCATACGATCTTGTACAGTACAGAGGTGCTAGCAGCGAAATCAGTGGCCTGCCGCATCCTTCGAGTTTATGGCACATAGTATAGCCAACCCGAGTACCAGATCGTGCTGGGTAAGACTCAGCCTCTCGAGCCCGTCGCCACGCCTCTTCACCACATTGGCATCGATGTCCCCCCGAAGCTGCTGGCAACACCTTGGAGGCCCAAAAGCGCCTCCCACACGACCCAACCTCATCAACGTGGGGTTCTAAATCCTTTCCTGTTTTGGTCAGCCTCACCGCGAACTTAGCGACCATCCCTCATGAGGGTTTAAAGCTGCGGAGCGTGCAAAGCGTGCCTGCCATGTAGGCGGTCTGGGGCAGCAGCGGCTAGCGAGCTGACTTTGGCATTTGAGCGATGATGCTGATGATCATTCCACGCCCCAGCCTTCTCGAATTAAAACGCTTGAGACTCTGGCGTTGAGTGCGAGAAGAACGATCTCACGCCGATAGCAGGTATAAACTGATAGCGATGATATTCACAGTTAGGCGCGCTCTACACGACCCTAGAATTCCTGTAACCTCCTCCACACTTTACCTGGAGATGGCATCATGTCTTCCTGATTTCGCTACCTCTAGTTAGCGAGACGTGTTCCGCGCTCACTACACTGCTAGCAGACACATCATACGGGTAGAAGCCAAGTGTCTTGGAGTATGCAACATATGGGCGCTTTACCCCAATGTCACGGGCACAATATCTTGGGCGGCAAACCAAGAGGTTGCATCCGCACCTCCGGGCTCGTCGATGACCAGATCCATAGTCTGATTCGACAGCGGGCGTGATAAGCTGCAATGACCTTTTCAGTGCACATTCCAGAGTTCACCATTCTTTGGGTCGTCATACGAAGTGGGTAAACAATTTGAGCTGCAAAGCTTTCTAGCCCAATCATTATACCACCTTAGATTAACCCCATATTTTGCAGCAACGATCGATCAGGATTTCCCCGTGGTCCGGCAGTTGTCCTCGTGGACATCACTAATCAGGCGAATACTTCGGCGGTCCCGTTATAAGAGAGGTTATTAGGAGACATGGTTGAAGTCTCACCATTTTCGCCTCTACATTCATCATCACTCATTTTCTCCAGCATCAAGTACATTCTCGAGAGTCAAAGACTACATCACGACCACTAGTCACGATGCAGTGGGCTACCATCCTCGCTGCGGCCACGGCCCTTGTAGGCCATGCCACTGCGCAGAACATGCTGCGATTTGCTTGCTCACAGCTTGTCGTCGAGCGAACAGACCCCCTTGTCAACCCGGGTGTCAAGTACACGCCACATCTTCATCAGATCGTCGGAGGTGACGCTTTCAATATCACAATGGACCCTTCAAACGATATCGCGCAGACGTCTAAGTGCACTTCCTGCAGCTTCGTCCAGGACAAGTCGAATTACTGGACCGCTGTTATGTTCTTCAAGGCAAAGAACGGAACGTGAGTACCTACAACACTATGTATACTTCGTATGTAAAACATGCGCTGACGTCCTTTTAGATACATTCGCGTGCCTCAGGTATGTAACCTCTTAGCTAACGCATCACAACCGAGAAAGTCACTAAACCTCAGCCAAGATCGGAAACGGTGGACCACAGGGAAAGCTTATCAATGACGGCGGTCTCGACGTCTACTACATCCCCAGTGGAAAGACCACTGCCTTCAAGAAGGGCTTCCGCATGCTTGCCGGTTCAGCCACCAATACCGACCCCAGCAAGGTCAAGCTCTCCAACATCTGCCATCGCTGCTGGACCTCCCCTTCTGAGAGTACCTTTGTTGGCGGTGCACCCTGCTCAGGCTCCGATACTGTCGCCATTCCCAAAGACCCCAAGTGCAAGCTCATCCGTCAGACCATCATCTTCCCCACCTGCTGGGATGGCAAGAACCTCGACTCACCAGACCATCAGGCCCACGTCGCTTATGGCCAGGGCGCTGGTGCTAATGGTGGCGGCGCTTGCCCTTCTACCCATCCCGTCAAGCTCCCTCAGATCATGTACGAGCTCATGTGGGATGTCAACAAGTTCGCCGACAAGAGCTTGTGGCCAACCGATGGCAGCGACCCATTTGTGTACAGCATGAACATTGGGTAAGTCCTTCAGTCCCCTCCATACAAGCTTCTTGTCAGTAGACGAAAACATAGCTGACTTCTCTCTTCAGTGGCTCTGCCGCGCATGGTGACTACGTCTTCGGTTGGGAAGGCGACTCCCTCCAAAAGGCTATGGACAACAACTGCAACCTCAACACTGCTTGCCCCAAGGCTGGTCTTACCGTCCAGCAGCCCGCTCAATACAATGCTTGCAAGAAGAAGCAGCAAGCTCCCGAGGATGTTGACGGCTGTAAGTTTCACTTGTTCGCTATACAACTGTGCGACATGTAGCTAACATGGACAAAACAGGGCTCAAGGAGATGCCGCTCGGTGATATGGCCATCAAGGCATAGACGTCGGCTGTCGCCATATGGCTATCATGGCTAGTTTCGCACAGTGGCTGTCAAGACCTTCGTTAGTCAGAGTTGTTTGGTGTGGTGCTTTTAGCTTAGCACTCGTTTGGCATTGCGTTGTATAATCTTTTAGATCGCAGAAGAGAATTGACGTGCAAGTTACGTGGCGAATATCATGCTTTTCGAGATGCAACCTATCCATGATGCTGCTGATTACTAAGGACTTATTGTGTCCTCCACCCGTCATTTTCCACTTTGGTATAAATAGCAGAAAATTTCATTGTTGGTGTGACACTGTCAGCTTATCTTCGAGCACTGAAGACACCAAAATCCCGACCTTGGCTTTTCGTGTGCAGACTTGGGGTCGTACGCCATGTCACTGCCTCGATTCGCGTGCCTCTAGGCATATGCACACAGCAGCACCCACAATTCTCGAGGAGAGACGAAATTCTACCATTCTAAAGTATGTACTCCACGAAATCTCCGACGCTATCTACAAGCCCTCTCCCAAGGCCACCACCTTCTCCCTACCGCCTCTACACCATCATCACCGTAGCATTCCCCATCCCACCCGAACTCGCAACCCCATTCCGACTCAGCAGTGCCTCAAAGTTCTGATTCGCACCCGCAGTAAAGTCATGCGTGATGTAATTATACACATCATGCACAGGAATCGATGCGCTAGTCGAAGACGGGTTGGAGACTTTGCTCTGCGAGCACGCGAAACCAAAGCGCTTGCTGCTGCTGTTGGGATCGATGCGCACGGCACCAGAAGAACCGGTGTAAGTTGTGCAGCCGGTGCATTTTACGGTGAATTGCCAATGCGTGTTGTTGGACTTGTTGCCGGTTGTGAGGGGCGTGTAGGTTGCTGAGGTGTATTGTTGGGGTGTAGAGTGGCCACTACGGTGGGTGTTAGTATTTTCGCGGTTGGTTGTCACTGGGATGTTACGACTTACGTGGCCCATCGCGATGACACGGTTGGCTTTTGGCCGTTGGGGTAGGACACTGTAAGGGGGTTGCGGATCATGCTGCCGCCCCATGCGAGACCAACCCAGCCGAGCACGTTAGGCGCGACAACTTGAAGAACGATGTCGTATGGTTGGCCCGCTGGCACATTGGCGGGTTGCGCTATGCGGTAGATAATGTTCGCTGAGAGTGTCGCGGCGGCTTTGGTCTCAGAGAATGTGAAGCCAGTTTCCGAGTCCACGTAGCTCACAGCGCGAGGCGCGAGGCGTTGTGTTTCTGACGTAGGCCATGCTTGAGCTAGAAATTGTCAGTTGAGATCACTGTCCGTGTTAAATCGGGATACTCACCAAGGCTAGCTAAAGCCGCAAGACTAAAGGCAAAGCGCATCTCAGTCAGCTCTTAATCTTTCAAGCTACGCGCAGTTATTCAGCAGCGCTATCGCAAAGCACGCAGAATTTGAAGGTAAAAAAGGAACGAAAAATATTCTACGTGTGACAAGGAAGTCCTGGAGAAACAAGATACCTTAATAAAACCAATACACACTCGCCAAGATGCCGCGCCTGAGATCCATCCACTCGAGACCCACAGTGTAAAGTACAAAGCGGCGATATACAAGCACGCGTGCAAGATAGACTAGAATAGAACTTGTCTTATCCAGGTTGAGACCTTACTGCCACGCGTGACTGACTTCATCACAACCCGGATGTGAGGTTCAAAGGCTTCTGGAATGTGGGTCAACATCCACAGGAATGCTTCCGATTACTACTCCAAGCCAGCCTCGAACTCTCTTTGGTGGCTGTGACCATGCGCATACGGAAGATACGCTGTTTGTGGAAGGTCGCAAAGGGAGGAAGGATGGCGTTTTGTTGGCTGTGAGAGGTTCGTGTATTTACCCGCATAGTGTGTATAGTGAGGATAGATGGCTTTGTGTATCAATCAAGTGGAGATGTGTTGCCACGACCCAGGAATCATCAATGCGATTGTGCAGAAGTCTACGTCCCGGGATTAGCAGCAGCGGATCATGCAAAACGAAAAAAGCGCTGATAGTTTACTTTGCGAAAGCTGGAAGATAGAAGCAATGTCTGCGGAAATGCGTAAGTGGAATTATCGTGATTCTGAATCGTATCGACATCATGTGCCACACATGTAACATGTCGAAGACGGATGCTAGTGCAAGCGAGCGCCACTGCATGCATCTCACTCCGAATCGCTTCCCCACATCTCGCTTGTGGGGCAAGACATCCACGCGAAGTTCACGTGGCTGGTCGCGTGTGCGCGGCCAAGCCTATCATACCATGGTATCCTCGTAAATGGCGAGGGGTTGTCGAGATTGATGTTCGCTTTGTATCATACAAAGATGTGAACAAAGCAGTCGCCGTCGGTCCATCAACGCTTCGCCCTGACATCTTTCTTCCTGGTGTTGAACCCGCCGGCATCGGGGTCTATGAAGTGAGCTAAAATCCTGAAAACGTCGGAGAGGTTCTGCGAGGAATTATGACGTGTATCGCTTGCGCAATATCGTTATATACACGGCGTTGATGATCGTTAGTCTCGATAACAGGATACAGCATAATAGAAACATGTGTTGTTACAGCTCGTGCATGAATTTTGGTTCATGGTGTTACGATGGTAAGTACTGCTCAACCTTCCGTGAGCTTCTGCATCTTCTGCGCAACGACGCAGATCGATCTCATGATGCCCATTTTCGCGTGTTGTGCGCCACCAGATCGCGCGAACCAGAAAGCGGTACCAGCAACAGAAGCCAGCACCAGACCGGCCACGCCGTTGAGGATCTTGGCCTGCCTCTGTGCCGCTTGCCGAACCTCGGAGTATCGCATGTTGCTGAACGTGACTCGTGAATACTGTGTGGCCCAGCCAATGCTCGGAACGTAGATATAGAGTTGCTCCTCCACCCACTTCCGCAGTAGATATAGGGGCTTCTTGACGTCGCTTGCCATCTCGCGATAGTTCCCGTCGGCAAGATCGTTGATGGTGTGTGCGTCAGGAGTGCGCTCCTTGGTGTATTCGTCTAGTGCCTTTGATCGATCGTTGGGATACCTGTCGATGAAATCGAAAAGAACGCGGACGTCTTCCAGCCCAGCATTCATTCCTTGGCCGTAGAATGGTACCATGGCATGGGCCGCATCTCCTAAGATAACGCCAGAATCTCCGTAGTGATATGGAGTACACTTGATCGATATCAAGGGCAGGTGCTGATTAGATGTGTACTGCTTGCGGAGATCGTCTTCGGTGATGAGTTCAGGAACCACGCCGGGGAACTTCTCATTGAAGTACTCGACTACTTTTCCAGACGCGTCCAATTGCTCAAAGCCTTCCCTGGTCAAGAAAAGCGTCGATGTAAAAGTCTTGTCTAGGTTTGGGAGAGCGATGAACATAGATTCGTCCTGGGGCCAGATGTGTAGGTAGTTTGGAGGTATTCGGAATTCGCCGTCCGGTGTGGCTGGAACATTGAACTGGCACCAGAGTTTGTCGATGTACTCTTGCTGAAACGACATGGGCACAAACTTCATCAAGTGATAGCGCACCGCCGAGTGTGCACCGTCGGCACCGATCATGAGATCGAAGTTGATTTCGAACTCGTCGCCCTGTTCTTCGGGAGACTTAGTACGATGCTCAAACCATGCGGTCTTCTTCCGGAAGTCTGCGCCGACCAACTTGTGATTGAACATGAGCTTGACGTTAGGCATGGCCTCTAGATGGTCAAGCAAGGTCTTGTTCAAACCTGTCCGATCCATAGCCAACAAACTCTACCCAAATTAGCATGAGATCAATGGCATGCGACCACACTGTACTTACTCTCCCTCTCGCATCATAGATCTGTGGCTGTCGAACATACTCTCCATTCTTCCTGATATGGATCATGCGACCATGCATGGGGAAGGTCTCTGCCAAGACTGCATCTGCAAGATCGGATAGTCCGGTCTTGCGAAGGGAGTGGATACCTCGCTCCGACAAAGCAAGATTGATAGATTTGGAGAAGTTTAACGGTGTGGTGTTGGGGTCTCGGAGATCTGGCTAGCGTTAGGTCACTCGCTAGCACCGAGATGGTTTACAGATCATTATCTCACCTGCTCTTAGCTCGTAGACATCTACTTCAAACCCGCGTACAGCTGCATAAAGCGCGGCCAAAGAGCCTACTGGACCAGCTCCGACCACAACTACTTTCTGGGTCATGGTGGTAAAGAGGTAAGGAGGAAAAGTTGGAGTAAAAAGATAGTTGGTTCACTGGTCTGTGCTCAGAAGCGGCGTGGTGTGAGTTGAAGAGTAAGAGGGGGAAGAAAGAAAGAAGAGTGGAAACACATCGTCTGCAAAGGAGGGAAACGCGAGACACGGGTGAAAATTATCAAACCATTACCAGGGATCCAAAGAGTCAGATATGATGGCAAAGTAGGGCAGATGATGCACGTCAAGACTGGAACGGGTAAGCGCGAGCTCTGGTTCAAGTTGGCTACTTAGTAATCGGTGATCGGCGGCCGGCGGCCTGGACCCCTGCACGAATTCCGACTTGACGATGCCGTGGGACGATCGAAGGTCGCAGTCCACCACTTCCTCCGTGCGCAAACCGTTGCCTCGCACATATACGTTCCTTGCGCGCTGTACAGTCGAGTGCACGTGAATAACAGGCCACCTCCGCCTCGACCACACCCTCTACACGCCCTATACCACCGCACGCGATGGCCACAGACGCCCCGCGCAAGTGCGCAGGCAAAGACTGCGAGAACGATGCGAGTTCTCTTCAATGTCCGAACTGCCAGAAGCTCGGAAAAGAGAACTATTTCTGCTCGCAGGATTGTTTCAAGCGCAACTGGGTACATAGTGAGACTGCTCTTACACTGCAGACAAAACAATCTAACGGCCCTCTAGGCTGAGCATAAGAAGGAGCACAAGTCACAAAGTAGTATTCTCCAAAGTATCTTTACGCCGAAAGTAGTTTCTCACCCGGATCCAGCCACCGGCCACTACAACCCGTTCCCTACCTACTCGTACACCGGCGCCCTCAGACCCGTATACCCGCTCTCGCCGCGACGCGAAGTCCCGAAGCACATAAGACACCCAGACTACGCGAAGGACGGCATACCGCGCTCGGAGCAGGTGTTTGTCAACAGGAATAAGATCACGATTCTGAACAAGGAGGAGCAAGATGCGATGCGCAAGGTGTGTCGGTACGGGCGCGAGATTCTGGACATTGCAGGAAGAGCCGCAGTGCCTGGTGTCACCACTGACTACATCGACGAGCTCGTACATAAGGCTACTGTCGAGCGTGACGTAAGAGCGACAATATTAGGGAATCAGAAAGTCTTGTTAACCGCAATAGTCTTACCCATCGCCCCTCAACTACTGCCACTTCCCCAAGTCCGTATGCACGTCGCTGAACGAGGTCATTTGCCACGGCATCCCTGACCAACGAGTACTCAAAGACGGCGACATTCTCAACATCGATATCTCCGTCTACCATGGCGGTTTTCACGCGGATCTGAACGAGACGTTCTACGTTGGAGACAAGGCTTTGGCAAACCCCGATGCTGTACGCGTCACCGAGACAGCGCGAGAGTGCTTACAAAAGGCCATCGAGATCGTCAAGCCAGGCACACTGTTCCGTGAATACGGAAACGTCATCGAGAAGCACGCAAAGAGCAAGAACTGCAGCGTCATCAGGACATACTGCGGGCACGGCGTCAACCAGCTCTTCCATTGCGCACCCAATGTTCCTCACTACGCGAAGAACAAGGCAGTTGGATCGGCAAAGCCCGGCATGTGCTTCACCATTGAGCCTATGATTAGTGTTGGTTCGCATAGGGACAAGACATGGCCAGACGAATGGACGAGTGTCACGCAGGATGGCTCTCTGACAGCGCAATTTGGTAAGCCCCGCAGATGCATCAATGTGTCCACTCATGACTAACACGCTATAGAACACACCCTACTCGTAACAGAGGATGGCGTGGAGGTCTTGACTGCAAGACTGCCAGATTCGCCAGGTGGTCCGGTACCGATGCCGGGAGCCACAAACGGTGAAACGAATGGCGAAGCGAAGGCAGCTGCTTGAGGATGATTGGACACTTGGGAATAACATAGCTATACGATACTTTCTCAGAGTACGCATAGCGTGATTCAACAGCACGAGGCTTTTGAGTTTCATCAACATTCGCGTGATGGCGGTCTGTAGTGATGTTCATGTTGTTGGCAGTCATAGCTTGCACAACTCGTTTCGTTTCGACGAAACAATTCGGCCGTCCGTGATATCACCAACCTTCGGTCAAGCTTCGGTCGGACGGTGTTGGCCCGCTCAACGCACACCTGCAAGCGAGGCGAATGACGCTAGTGGTGGTGCCTGCCCGCCGTCCAGGGAAGCAACTCGTGTCTCC